CTTGAGTACTTCATACCACTTTCTCGTTGTTGACCCCAGAGAATGGTGGAGAAATTCGCATCACGTCCTCAATAACTTACTACGATTTATTTTCATATATTCTGAATTTTTTTAGAAAGTACATTATATACACGTATCATACCTCTGTACAAAATATTCACAGTAAATATAAGTACGTGTATATTTTCATGCCCATCTAATTCTCTACAGAAAAGCATTTAACGAAGCGCATGTAATAGAAGCTACAGCCTATTAATTCTGTATAAACTGGTTGTAATTATAAAGTTTTGTTTCTTTTCACTATGAAAAAACGTGGTTTTGGCAACTATCGCGCAAGAAAATATTTCAGCATGGGCTTGAATGGATGTAATGATGAGTGTTTGATCAACTTGGGATGCGCTAAACAAAAATAAAAACATCTTGTTTAAACGTGATTGATTTCGTAGCAACGAAACGGGACCTTTTTAAAAATTTATAATCAAGCATTACTACAGTTGACTATGAAAAACGCGTTTAAAATACGAAATGAATTAAAAAGAATGTGGGTGATTGTTGGTGTGCGGGTGCGGGTGGGGTGTGAGTATTCATTTCACAACGACTCACACCCACACCCACCCACATCCACACCTACATCTAAGTTATCATTCAAAATGAATTATACTCAATCCGCATTAACTCTCAGAAAATCCTGTATGGTAGAAAAAATGAAAAAAAATTGAAAACATTATTTTTTAGTTTTTCGTTACTATAATCAGAAAGAGTAGTTTAAGACGCACGCGTCTTAAACTAATGTGAGTTAGTTTCATTGTTCTGTGTTTGTTACAATATTTCTAGAAAACGGCAACATTGTAAGTAAACTCTGAAATCATTTACGAATATTTAATTGCTAAATCTCTGTTTTTCTATTCGGAACATTACATATTATGGTTCGAGGCAAGAGTTATCCTTCCTTACTTCCATATCGATTTCTTCATTTCCGTGCATTCTCTCTGTTGTTCTTCGTTTTTGGTTCTGTTTCTCCAGTAGACACAACAGAAGAAATATAGAATATTGAGAAAAGAAGAGTATGCAGGTAGTGAAAATTCTGTCTTACTGATGTTGTTGTGTCTATTGCACGACAAAAAAAAATTAAAAAATTATTTTTTACGATTTTTCTGACCGATACAGAATTTTCTCAGAGGTAATACGAATTGAGTAAAATCATCTTGAATGATAGCTTAAATGTTGCTCACTACAAATATATTCTTCCATACCACTATACCTTTTCTATAAAGCGGATTTATACAATAAATGATGATCGACTTATTTATGAACGTCGTATTTTCGCATAGATATCCTTGAAAATGCATCACAGTAAAAAATGGCAACAGGCTAGAAGTTGGTCATTATTCAATGATTGAGAAAGAAAATATCATTGAATTATTCTTAGGAAGATCTTATCAATATATTTTAGTGACTACATTCGAAAGATTCGCAACTGAAAACTTCAAAAATGAAACAAGAAAAATGAAACATTGCAACGACAGTATGTCATAACCCTGACCATCATTCATCCCTCATGCTGCTCTTCCATGTTCGGTCCTGTGCTATGTTATCTCTAAATTCTGCCTTGCATGTGCTCTCTTTCTCTCTTGATTGAAATTAGCCCTTCGGATCATAGTATGCAATATGAGTTAAACTTCTTTCGTTGCTTTTCTGATATTCAGTTCAATTCGTTGTTTTTTTGAAGAAGAAATTGGTGTAGGAAAGTGTTCATACTCTGATGAAAAACTGCGTTATTTTTGTCTTGTCATCACGAAATAACTTCATGACGCAAAGCAAGTTATACAAGCGAAAAAAACAGAGATTCTTTTAGTTATAATCGTACAAGAAGAAAAAAGATCTTGTACAATACTTGCATGTCGCGTTGGTTTCTGTTTATTTCGTGCCATCACTAGGCTGATTAACTTTTCGACTACGCAGCATCAGTGTAACCTATATTGTATTGATTGATCTCCGTGTGAAAGGCAGCGAATATAATACGAAGCACTAAAAAAGAAAGAACCGTGAAGTAGGTTCGAGGAAAAAATGAAAAATAGAGTACCAATGCCAGGATTCGAACCCAGTTCTCTGTATTAGAGTACATCGATTACGTTGATTTTCACCAGGTTCATCTGACCTTTTCTGAGTTTCGAATCAGTTAATCTGAAATAATTCGAAATGGAAAATAAAAGTATCAAAATTCTTTTGTTTAGCAAAACCTATGTTTTTCTTTTCAGCGATTAAATTGACACCTCGTTAGTGTTTACACCTGTTGGTTCGCCTNAGCTTTTTTTGCTAGAAATGAACTACGTACACTTTGAAAGGTCCATTGGGTATCCACTGAAGAGAGGTTATGTTTTATATCTGATTCATTTTTGGACTGAAATGATCGATCAAACAAAATCAACGTCCACTACAATCATCAGAAATTTCGATTCACCAATCAATGAAAAACAATCCGTTTCGACACCTAACATGTGGATATCAAGTAATATACAATGCTTTGAGTTCGTACTTGTCCAATCGCTCGACAATACACATATTTTTACTAGAGAAAATCTGAAATTGTAACCAGATTGATGCATCTTCAAAAATCTTACAATATCATGATGTGTTTTAGCATTATGCTAGTGCTCATTTAATACTAATGCTAAAGTATTAAATGATTTTTTAACAGTAATATAAAAGTATTACGATCAGTATTAAGTAATGCCAATGCTAATGCTAAGCCGATACCTCTAGGTTATGTATTCAGATAAATAATATGCGACTGATCACTGAGAAGCGAAAGTTGAAATTAGTAGATTGAAGTTGTCTTTTCTTTTCTTCAAAAGATATAGGCCTGTCTGCTTTTTCGATTGATTCATCTTGATCTACTCTTATCTATCAGACAAACTCTTCCTTTTTTATTCTATTCTACAAGTATGACACTTGATGTATAAATAAAAAATAATAACTGTCAATGTGAATTGATAAAAAAATCTTCATTATCTTTAGACAGATTTTTGATGAAAAATATTACGTAGATGAAACTCTTTATATTGTGCTGCTGTTTGTTCTTTATCTCGATTATAAACAGAGAAAGAAGACGTATATTCACAGCATGGTCATTGAAAGTTACGATACAGAGGCGAATGATGTACAACTAATGAAATCGCCAATTTCTCTTGTATCAAATCCATATTTGATAAAGTTGGACAGCATCATTTTTCGTAGCTTGAAACAAGATAGAAGAAAGACTGATCAGGACAAAACAAAACTAAGTCGACTTTCCAATAGCAAGTGTGTTGACACTACTCTCTTCGATGAATACATCTATGAGTAAAACCAACAAAACAGCTTTTCACTGCTGATTTTCCTTCGTTGATCGTTCTCAATAGTTGATCCGAGAAACAAAATCAAGATTGCTATTGATAATCGACATGGATCATTTTCCATAACGTGGACAAAACAGAAAATCACTTTGATTAGTAGTGCTTACACAATTGAATGTGTCATTCCAGTGTGTCCATGAATTACACTAGACAGTTGCTAAAAAGCTTTCAAGTTTATGCCAGTTCCTTTTGTGCACCTAGTAGCAAAATGATGACGAGTCTTCAAATTCGATTGTATGAATAATCGATGCAAATAATATGCGTATTATTAACTAAATAAAAATATTGTATAGGTATTAATTTCGTTTTTTGCCTGTACCAAATATTTGCATAACATTGATCAATTTAATTGGTACTGTACTATAGATATTGTCGATAACCGATAGTCGCTATTCATAAGTGAAAAAGGTAAACTGTTAGTAGTATCCAGAATGACATATGTGTGTATCGTAACGCTTTAGTTCAAATGTCCTTATTGCATTCGATCAATAGTGGAATTCTCCTGTCTCTTGTACTTTTGATGTTGCTTTCATCTGGTTACTGTGAACTTAGTACTGCAGTAATGAGCAACGATTCTATGTATACGTTTCTCATGTCGATTAGGAGCGAAGAGTTTTGGGTAATCAGTCCACAAGGCGTAATCATGCGATGTGGCAATATTGCTTGCTGGAAAGAATCTAACTCACAAGATGTTGCGAATGGATCTCAATGTCAATCAATTGGTTGTCGTAGCGGAATCAAATAGTAGATAAACTGAGTGATGACTGATAAGCTTCATCATGAAACTTTTACTAATAACCCTCTGTAGTGTAATCTACTATTTCTGTTCATGTTTTAGTAAATATAAACACAGACTATGCCATTACCACCGTTTTCCGGCTACTAAGATTGTAACAGTCTCCAAGCTATCGGAGTTTTTACTAATCCTGTGAGAACTATTTGCTTTTACTTCTCTTATACCACTAAGCAAAGTCTACTAAGTAAAAACCTCAAAGTGGTTTTTAATGAAAGAATGCAGTTTATTATACGATTATTTCGATCTTGAGCTTTTTAGACAGCTTTCTGTCTAGATGAATCCATATTCAAATTACTGATTAATCCACATTTAAGTTGACATTTTATTGTTTTTATCTACACCATAATATATAGACAAGTCGAACAAAGATGGAAAAAGAATCAAATCATCATTGATTACAATCGATCTTATTTCCATAAGACGTAATCAAGAAGGCGAATTATAATGCAACAATTATGATCAATTAATTAGGAGAAATTCAATAGAGTTTATTGCTTATCACTGACGATTCTCAATGGAGAGATTTGATCTTTACACCCATTCAGAATAATATAACAATTCTTCCTCTTTCTTTTTTCTTTCGTTGTACGCTTCAATGAGGTGAAATCAACATGAATAAAGGAAGAAATAATTATAGGTTGTCTGACGATAATATCGATCAATTGGCTAGTTGATTCGAACATCTCGATCCCTCTTGTTACGAAGGAAAATTTCAATTTACTATGCCAAGAAAATGAAAAATTATTATATAACTGCTTGTTTTCATAACAAGAGTAGAAAAAAAGAGTACTAATTTTCAATTAACTACTTCATTCAAGCCATTTAACAAGAGGCAAACGAAATCGATCCATCCACATGTCCTCAACATCTTTGGATGATGGCAATTCTCCGAGTTTCTTTTCAAGTAAAACAGTCATATCAGTTTTCGATAAAGTCAAATCTTTTCCTTGTTTCACTTCTTTCTGTAAATCATTGTATATTTCTTCTATCATTGCTGTTGCATGTTTGTGTCTTTCTTTTTCTTCTTGGAAATGACGCCATGGTGCATATTGTTCCAATGTTGCACTACGAAATGTAGAAGAATTGAGAGTTAATCTTTCGGTTAAAAAAGGAATTGGATTTTGCATGCACACCGAAGTAATTTAGTTTTCAAGTGTTTTGTAAAAAAGTTTTTTTCCAAGCTTTTTACATTTTTATTTGGTAAAAGAAAAACTGTTTCAACTATTATCTTTGAAAATATCCTTCTATAAATAGCATTCTATTTTTTTAATTTCTATCTAATAAATGAGTGTTTCAAAAAAATTGAAGCGATTCTTAATTTTCTTTTTTCCATGAAAAAATTTCATAGTTTCGACGAGAGTCGATAAAAAGAATAAAATTCATCTACCTGTAAATTTGTTTAGCTTCCCATGAAGAAGGTAACCGACCAGTATGTTCTTCATACATTGTCTTACATTCATCCAAAGTAATTCGAGCATAATTCAAATTTGGTTTCTTATTCCATATAGATTGTGCTATTTCTTTTAATTTTTTCTTACGCTTTTTGATTTCTTGTGTTTTGTAATAGAGTTGAATTTTGAGTTCTGCATCAGGAAGAGGAGAAAATGATACACCTGTAACATTGGATGATTTATATCGACGATATTCATTTTGGATGAAATCGGAAATAGGGAAGTTGAGATGGACAAGAAGTGCATTACATGGATTGTAGGTTGTCCAATTGATGTGACCAGCAGCAACAGCAACTCGAAAAACGAAACGATGTGTCATCGTCATTGATGTGTGAAAAACTTCACTGAATTCGGCACTCTAAAAAATTAAGACACCGACGTGTCTAAATCTTTTCTCGTTCATTGATGTGTGTCAATGAGCTGAGCGTCTAACACCTGTTTTTCGAAGACATGTTAACTGGTTTACGAGCTACTTATTGTGCAAATCAATGTACTTCGATATGAACAATACGTATTAAGAGAATATTTTTTTATAAAACAATTTTCTATGTTCTCTTCTCATCAACTCCATTTTTTCTTTTAATTTAAAAATTTCTTTTTTTAAAAGCTCAAGTTATATTTAGAAAAATACAAAATTATTTTATGAAAAATATTTTCTTAATGTGTACCGAATAAGAAATTTTTTGAAGTTACTAATGTTATAATCTAGAAAAAAAATCAATCAATGAGAAATAAGACGAAAAAAGAAAATAAATAAAACATATTTTTATTTTCAGAAAATTGTATAGCCCTCAGAATCAACCTAACAAAAAAAAGAAATAAAAATATTTACAAATTCAAAAAATGCATTATAAAGAGCAAACATAAGTTTACTTATTTGTTTTTTTGAAAATATGCGGATTCAAAGAGGCAAATAGATTACGGTACCAAAAAGTCTAAAAAAAAACAAATTTAAGAGTATGAGCCTCATAAGAATCAAATGATTTTAGATAGTGAGTGATAAAAAAAACTAAGTAAGCCGTCGCTTGTTGTTCAACTTATCATTAGTCACTTTTGCATCACAAATAATGTAACGAAGAAGTCTGCTAGTCCATTTTTATTCAGTTACGATAAGGAACAGGACGCATCACTGTCTATTCAATTGATATGTCTAAAAATAAGACGAATTTTGTGTCTAATATGGATCTGAAGTAGACGTTCCGTCTCGTAAAACATGAGGCATCTTTTAGAGTAAGGTTATACTGAATGACAGCCATCTTGTCCAATACCTCATTTCAGTCCATATTTTACCCAGGCTCGATGACAGTCCATAATGGACACTTTAGTTTCTCTAGATGTAACCAGTAGACGACACTTTGGCAGTTTTATCAAATATAGATATTCATATACGAAACAGTGGCTTATTCATGTATTTTCTGCTTGTCATTTTCGAGAGCAAGTACTTGACCAACTTTGAATAAACAATTATTTATTCATTTAGTCTTTGAAGAGATTTAAAGTGAAAGTAAAAGATGATGATAAATGTTAGTTTTGTAACAGATGAATGAATTTGTACGGAAACAAAAAAACAGAAGGTGATTTATTCTTTTGCAATGTTTATTCCGGTCATTCATTACAAAAATATCAATTTTTCTCTCGGGTGGTTAGAAAGCTGAAATTTTATGGTAAACTTCTATCACCAATTGAAAGCCGACAGTCCAAAAACAAACTTTTCCAACCCTTATTCTAGAGAATACGGAAACTAGCGAATCAAAACAGCCGAAAAAGTTAATATCAATTAATCAAGCTGAAATTTTAGGTCTTCATCTCTCCAATCAAATATATTCGTTGTTGATATTAAAACATCCGGTTTGCCATTGATAGAAAACTAATCATTCGAATTACAACTTCATTTTTTCATAATTCCTTTTTCAGGTGATAAGTAAAATCATTCTTGATAGTATCTTCAAATTCTAGAAAAAGGTTTTTGTTGTTCGTCCCAAGTGGCTACTTATCCAGTAATTAATTCAATAATATTCTCTTGAAATAGTAAATGCTTTATGTCTTGTTGAATATACATTTGCCTAGAAGGAGATACATCTGAAGGAATTTACTTTTCGCCACAGTACTTTTAATTGATAATCCATTTTTGACCAAATAGTTTTCCAGTTTGATACAGAACGTATATCAGATAATTTTAACTTTTGGATGAATTTAAAATTAACAATATTTCCAATCGGCGCATGTCTTGAAAATATCTGTTCGGCTTGGTAGACTCGATGAGGAAGTTTTTATTGCTTTGTGAAAAATAGTACCGACAAGTATTTCAATGAGTTCAACACCGTGCTCTATGATTTGGAGTGTTTTTGAAAAAACCTTCAGACAATTTGCCAATATCCATTTCTTCGATATCGAATGTGTTTACATTGAAGCATGGGGAACGAAAAAATGGACCGAATGTTTTATTGTTGTTGACGAATTTTATATTGAACAATTTCGAGAACAGAAACATTTACTTTTTTGTCCTATTACTTCTATTTTCACATCGATACCACGACTTATATTTATCTTAATTATTGTGTGTCTAGATCCAAGTTCTTCTCTTAAATACGCTTTTCTTGTCGGTTATTTTTTTATTATTTGAGCCCGAAATCTACACGTTTTTAAATATTGGGTTCGTTTTTTCGTCCTATCAAAATGGACTGGCTAAACTTTTACAGAAAACAATCGATCGATTATCATCAATGTTCTGATTTGATATAATTTCTCAGTCAAAGATACATTTATTCATTGTATTACTAAGAGAAAAACAAATCTCAACTAATTAGTTTCCTATTCTTTTGATACACAACCATTCAAACATTTATAAACATATATTTCTAGCAAAAAAAGCTATTTGAAATGTTTTTTCCCCAAGATTACTAGAAATCGAGAAGAAACTCATGATTTAATCTCATTGAAAATACACAAGAACAACAAGTCGACACATTGTTCATGATTGAAATCAGGTTTTTGTTATTCATTGAATTCATTACAGAAAAGGTCGTTACAATTAAGAGCAGCTTTACTGATTTATGTCATTCAAAAATTTGTAAACAATCATAGTTAAAATATTTCCGTGACCAACAAAAAGAAAAATACAGTCAATAGGAAACAAAAGACGGAGTCATGTGAATCGAAAAAGAAATCAACGCAGGAACGAAAACAGAAGAGAATCTTATCAGTTGTATTTTCTTTCTTTCTTGTCAAACTTTCGATCAATGTTGACGATCTGATCATATCTATGTACTGTAATTTTGTTCTTTAGCAGCTACGCCCATTTATTGAGTCGATTCGTTTAAGATCATCAACTATTCGTGTTCGACTTCGACAAGAAAAGATCTTCAATCATCACTTAACTCAAATTGAATATCGATTGATTTGAGGGTGTACGTGTGGCTAAAAGAAGACATTCACACCTACTGAAAAACGAGAACTATTGTATATAAGTAAGTATTCAAAGAAGAAAAATATTAGAAATATTTAACAACCATACAACAAAATAAGATAAGTATCATTTTGTATAAAATGATTTATCACTTCTATTTGTTAATAGCTATCGCATTGTAAAATAGGACTCATTGTCATAGATCTTCGTCTTTATATGAATGTAGTCATAAAAGATACTAAATATCTTCTATTGCATACAAACAATTGAAAAAAAAAGTAGAAAACACCCAAATTTCAACCTGAAGTTAAAACCAAAGAACTATGATGATCAATTCTTGAGAGTATATGAATATAAACTATCGTAGTTTATTTTTTAAAATTAATACACTATGGAATATCTTGAATTATATTTGGAATCGATTTATTACTGTAAATTGTTTTGAATTTTGAATTCTGTACCACCTTATGAATAAGAGAGAGAGAGAGAGAGAGAGCCTAATTATTGTACTAAGGATCATGAAACTTGCTATAGGTAGTGGCGGCGCCAGGGGTGGGCCAGGGTGGGCTCAGCCCATCCTGATTTACATCGAGCCCACCCTGAGAGATTTTGAAAGCTATGTAAAAAGAACACTTTGTGTAGGTTAGGGTGGGCTAAACCCATGATGAGCCCACCCTGAACTGAAATCCTGGCGCCGCTACTAGCTATAGGGAAGAGTCTTGTAACAATTGTTGGTTGCTTCAAACAAAACTGAGATGAATGAAGAATGACTCGTGAAATCCGAATAATACTAAAACCTTGTAAAGAGATATTCAATGAACGATTATGACTTTAATCAGACATTGTTGATCGCTGGATTTCTACTTTCAATTTTCTACCAGTTTCCGGCTGAAACCAGAGTCTTTTCCATGAGATTATTCCAGAAATCAATGAATTCAAAAGCCGCAATGATAGACTTTGAAATATAATAATCGAATGAATATTAACATACTCGATATGTGATGTTGCTGGTCTTCATTTGCTCGAACAACAATTCGAAATCAATAAAAAAAAAAGTAATAAAATATATTTTGAATGCAATATTTTTATATACTGAGCATTATCCTCATTAATTTTCGACTAAACATTAACATCAAGCATATTTAATCGAATAGCTAAATCAATATGGATATACCAAAAAAATAAATCAACAGTATAAATTTTTTCGTTCGATATAAATAATAGAAATTCACTTGTTCTAGATAAGTTGTCATTGATGTATCTTTTCCTTCATAACCTCAAGTTTTAAAGAAAAAAGAAGAAGGAATTCAAATAGAAATGATTTAATAAAAATTTTTAAGATAAAACTTGGATTATCTTGTGGTTTATTGCCACTTCACGGATTGGATATGCTTTCCCACCAAGCTTTTGGCTCATGATCTGTTTTTTCTTTGCTTTAAGTTCAGCACTACGACGAATATATGTTCAATTAAAAACATCAAGTTCTTTTTTTCTAATTCCTAGTTAATAAAATAAATAATCTTTATTTTGTATATTGTAGGTCTTTTGTTTCAATACTTGTGCTCGTTGCTTTTATTCAGGTGCTGCTTTTCCAAGCAAATCTTGAAAATGAATTGAACGATATTTTCTACAATGATTTAGATATAGTTTTATACTTTTCCATTTATAACATTTAAGTCGTGATCGAACTTCTTCATTAATAATAGCTTCATACTCAAATTTTCATCTTAAAATTAATAAAGAAATAAAAAAAAACTATATTTTATTAATGAATAAAATTTCAAAAAACAAAACATTTTACTTTTTAATGCTTAGTTTTTGTTCTATATTTTGATACATCTTGATTTAATAGTAAGATAATCGCGAAATTCAAGTAAATCTGAATACTAAAAATAAACAATAAAAATAAAAATTTTTTTTTTCTTTTCTTTTAATTTATTTGATCATGATTAATGTTTAAACTAATTTCATCCAGATCAATTTTAATATCAAACATCAGTCGTTTTAATTCTTCTTCTTCTTCTTCTTCCCGATTTTTCATGTCTAATATAATTTTTGTTTTGATATTTAATGATCGCAGTACTACGTAAATATTAATTATTTTATATAATATCAAAACTAATTGGCTCAATTTACTATATGATATGTCAGTTGGAGCTTGTTGATTATTGACTGCTATTCTTTCTCTAAGATTTTTCTGTATTCGAAATAAACTAGAATTACAAAACAGAAGAGAATAGATATATGACATACAAAAAAACTTCCTTTCTTGATAAGCCAGATCGTACTAGAGCAGTGGTATTCCAATAAATTGATAAAGCACTTAAATTACCGAGCTAGAAAGGAAGGTACATATTCTTATGATATAATTCACATCTTAATAATGAACATATCATCAAACTCTACTTTGATTGCTTTATCAATATTTAATTTATATAGTATTCGTATATGTCGTAATATGTGGCATTAAGACCTTTTTTTCAAATATTGGAGATCATTTTTCATATGCAGAAGATGATATCGATCAAAAGTTCTTTCGTTTAGTATGAATTGAAGTGTGAATTCTCTCATTGTTACATTGAAAACATGATCTTAGAGTGTACTCATTGTGAATTGAAGCTAAAAAATAGAACCCACGTTTTTTACCTATTGTAATTACATTTGACCAGTTAAAGACACTTGATATTTGCTTTCTTCTTGTTTCGACTACTAATATAAAATATGAATAGTCACAAATATTCATATTTTTAACACACTTAAATGAATACGGCAAAAAAAAGATGGTACATCATTCTGGTTCTACAAGTACCATACGAAGTTATAGATGCTAGCATCTATGAACTAATTATCTTGTAAGTTTGTTACCCTTCATTGTTGAGTTATCATCAAAATGTTATGAAATTTTAGAAAAAAATGATGAGACTGATGTACTCTTTTCATTCTTTCTTATGTTATTAATAGTTTCACTCAAATTCAAATAGTAGCTTGAATAACCAAATTAGGGTGTGATCTTATTTTGTACACACTTCTAGAATCCACATAGATATGCTTAAAACACTACTATTAGTACTACTATCAATAGCTCATCATTTTTTTCTTCTGTCTTTTTGTTCATATTACATGTATTCAACAGTTAGAAAATTAGGTCATCAGAATTCTTGATTATCTATCATAGTAAGTATTAGATATATACAAGGCACCATAATATGAATCAAAATAGTACATCGCGAATGCATCAGAATCAAACTTCAATGAATCTAACTCACGAATACGTTAATCAGTAGCTGATGCAATTAAAAAAAGGATTTTTGATTCCCATAAAAAATTTGCAAAGGAGAATATGTGTGTTATTAGTGTAGAATTTATTGGACAAAAGATTCTGCGTTTAATCTAGTCTAGAAACAATGATTAAATCCAAACGTGTTTGGCTGTTTTTGAAAAACGAGTCAATGCCAGATATAATAAAGTCCGTTAAGAAAATCACATGTACACATTTTTTCTTAATTGATATTTTTTCGTTACTACGCTTCTTATGCTTTGAACGTGATGAAACGTGTTTTAAAAGCGTTATTTTTACACTTTTGTCTGACTGGGTATTAGATTTTTCTGACAAGTTCTTTCAGAGCTATATACCAAGTTTCTAATGCAGACAACACTTTATTGTAAAAAATTTGGAATTTTAATTTTCAGTATTACACAACATTCGTTAACCAAAGTTCAATAGTCTATATTAGAGTGCTGCACGGGTGCACTTTTTTTCACCCGAAACCGGACCGGAGCTTTTTTCCGTACCCGTGTCCGAACCGACCCGACAACTTCGTACCCGGACCCAAACCGGACCC